TCATCATTATTGCCATCCACTCCACTTAATCTCTGCTTAATTAACGTTAAAAGTAAGAAACAGATTTTTGTATTGGTCTGAGAGGAAGAAATGTAAGAAAATCTTAATGTTTATTTCCTCTGAATACGTATAATAGGGTACTCATATACCAAACTAACTAATAAAGGTGAAACCTGCAGGATGTAAACTGTAAGGGCCTTATTTCTATCCCACTGCTGCCTTCAAATTCATCATGTATGACTTACTTTCCACACCCTCATGGCAATATTCTTAGATTCCATAGCTATGGAGCCATTTTAGAAATTAAGGTCTCATGTCTCTTATTTCCCCCAAATTAGAACTGACTGTGTTCTTCTGCATCCAGAAATGCATGGAAGAAATGTTACCAAAAGCTTTGTCCTTGTCCCTGATGCCAACCCAATTATGAGGACTCAGTTTTGAGAAAAAGGAAAAAGAAGTTTGTTTTACTAGTAAGAGAGAAACACAGGAAACTCCTGTCCCAGAGGCTGTGATTCTGCCCATCAAGGGGAGCAGGGACTTTTAAAGAGGTGATTCAAAGGCTACATTCTACCATGTTCTCCGTCAGAGTTGTAATGCACTTTTTTAATTTGGGAGAGTCATTTCTGAGATTTTCTAGTACCATCCCCAAAGTCTGAATTACTTCATTCTTAAAGCCAGTGTGTGTTCCAGGACTGATAACACTGCCTAGGATGGTGAAGAAAGGTAAACTGTTTCCCCTGGGATTAGGGAGAGGGCGAAACTAGAAAGGAGCAGGGAGAGAGGAAGGGAAAGAAACATGTCTGTTTAAAAAATAAGTTTCAGTGGCAGAGAAGCAAGGGCTATATTCAAAGCATAAAGGGACCACTGCTACAGAAAAAGAGGAAGAAAGGCAAAAATATGACACTGTCAGGCCTACTTAGTCTGCTCTAGGATATCACTGACAGACCACTGTGTCCTCCATTGTGGCAGGCCTTCAAAGGCTGGTTCATTTATGGAATGCAATTGTAGGTCCAGGCTGAACTGAGGGTCCCAGGTATGTTGATGCTCAATTGACCTGACTTCTTACAGACATTACCCATTTTTGTTCTAGCTTCTGGTATGAGCTCTTAGCAGAGAATGGTTAGGGACAAGTTCCAGGAAAACTGCACAAGTTACATACACAGTAACACATCAAAGCATCTTAACACATGGGAAGTTCTGATCCCCAGAAGTTGCAAATGTATCTATTCCTCTTTGTATTATGGTCTAGAAAGGCTTTTCTGTGTTCCTTTACCCTTTCAACGTATTAGGGCACAAACTCCATTCTTCTGGTGGCATAGCAACTCAGCAAATATTAAACTAGGGAAGAAATATTAGCCTCAATTCTACAGACATTTTCAATTTTCATCACTAGTATGATTCTCTTAGGGCCTTCTCTCCTTTGACTTGAGGGAAACCATCAATAGCTGTTTCCTTAAAAAAATAAAGTATTTTAACAAATTTTATGGGGGTAAAATTATATACAGTAAAATATCATTTTTAAGTTTAATTATTTTTAAAAAGACACTAACAGTCATTATTGTTGAGTCCTTTTGCAGATGGGATAGATATTTTTCAGTACAGCAATAACTGTCTCTCCAGAGATTTCCAGTTTTTTATAAAAGTGTTTTTCAGAAAGGAAGGTCTGTTTGTTTCTCCCAGCATCTTGGCCTCAGGCAGGCTGCAAGACTGGCCATTTACATTGATAGTATCTGGAGAAATGCCCGGTGGCCTTTGGTTTTACTGTGTTCCACTCCAAATCAAGTTAGCCTCCTCCACCACCAAAACTGCTAGTTTTTACTCTGCCTCCAACGCATAGTAACTATAAAGATAAGAGAATGGGAGTAACCCCAGCTACCACACCCAGGCATTCCCATTGTTCTTATCAGAAATTTAGTGGTTTATTGGTGAATACATATATCCTAATTTATTATATGCCTTTGAGTTCCTGAGACATGAAATAGTTAAATAATTCTTCCTAATTATGTTACATCACCAAATTTTAGGAAAGCATCTGATAAGCTTCTCCTGCCACCATCCCAAATGTTTTTCTCAGTAAATCAGATCTTTACAGCATATGCGGCAGTGATAGACTTACTTATGTGTGTATCAGGTATGGCAGATTAAATTCTAAAGATTCCCTTCCCTTGGCCTGTTCAATGAAACACTCATGCAAATGGTGTGGTAAAGAGAATTTGCAGATGAAATTTGCAGGCCCTTAAAATAGAGCTTTTATACTGGATTGTCTGAATTGGCCCAATCTAAATATATGAGCCCTTTAAAAGCAGATAATTTTATCATGCTAAGTGGAGAAAAATGCAGCAATACAGAGAGCAGGAAAGGTGTGAGAGAGAGGGAAGTCAGAGAGATTCAAATCTTAAGGAATGGCATGTCCTTGCTTGTTTGTAGATGAGGAAGTGAGGGCAGGTGCAGGAGTCAAGACATGTGGATGATCTCCAGGACCCAAGAACAGTAGCTTCCAGATATTAGCCCTCAAGGAAACAGAGACCTTACTGATAAAATGGTCTGAAGCTGAATTTACCCAACAGCCTGAATGAGCTTGCAAGTGTATCCTTACCCAGACCTTCCACAAACACACAACCTTACTTTGGCTTCAACTTGAGAAGAACAGGATTGAAAACAAGCTAAACCAGTGTGCCTGGACTTCCAACCAGCACAAATGAAACTTACTAATGAATATTGTTTTATGACACTAAATTTGCAATAATCTGTCATATTAGCAATAGAAAATCAATGCTTCAATATAGGACAAATGATTTGTAGATAATGAGAGCCAGGTTTCTCACTCTCAGAGGAAGGGTTTACAGGTAAAAATAAGGGAAACTGAAATGAACTCAGTGGCACTAGATCTCAATTGGAGGTATTCATGTGCATATTCACATATGAAAAAAAAAAGAAATAGATGTTGAGATTTGTGTTGACATGAAAATCTTGGTTTTTAAAAGCCATCTTCAATACAAGGAACTAGGAATTCTGGTAGAAGGTAAAGTACAGGAGCAGAACAACCAGGAACATTTATTTATTTATTTATTTATTTATTTATTTATGGTACTGGGGATTGAATCCAGGAGTAATTTACCATTGAGCTATACCCCTAGTATTTTTTTTTTTTTTGGTACCAAGGATTGAAGCCAGGGGGCCTTTACTACTGAGCCACATCCCCAGCTCTTTTGTGTTTTATTTTGAGACAGGGTCTTGCTAAGTTGCTTAGGGCCTCTCTAAGTTGCCAAGGTTGACTTTGAACTTGAGATCCTCCTGTCTCAACCTCCCACGTCACTGGGATTACAGGTGTGCATTTAGCTTTTTTAATGTTAAGACAGCTTTTTGCTGAGTTTCAGCATTCTCACTAAATTGCTGCGCCTGGCACGGAATTTGCAATCCTCCTAACTCAGCCTCCCGAGTCACTGAGATTGCAGGCAACACTGTGCTCAGCTAACCAGGAACATTTTATGGTGCTGAGCTGTACAAATATGCTCAATAATGATGTGCATTTGAAACAAACAAAGAAACAATTACCAACATGATAGTGTTCCCAACTACCGAACGTAAGACAATTTAATGAATAAAAATAATATTCCACAGAATAAAAAAAAAATCAATGTATACTTACACAATTGAGCAAACTTATCTGGGATAGCTCTTTCTTAGAGTAGAATCCTAATTAATATAAACTTAAAGAAGTGATGGAAATAGAAAATCATTGTTGGCAAAAAACAGATTAGAGTGCATGTAAGAGTCATCAACAAATGTCAGACTTGGGTGAAAGCTTGCTGAGAAATAAATATTTGCATGGTCTCCAAGTATATACACAAGAGATATTTCTTAAAAACAAAGAAGGAAATAAAGTTAGACCAGTCATTGCTGGCAAACACAAAACTTATCAAAATGATCAAAAATCTACCATATACAGTCATCATATTGATACAATGTGCTAGAAGATCAGGGGCACCATTTTTAGAATTTTTGCCAAAAAATATATATCAGTATTAATCATTAGGAAACATCAGACAAACCCAAATTAAAGGATATTTTACAAAATCATTGGACAATCCTTTTCCAAAACATCAGGATCTTGTGTAGTAGCCAGCTTCTAGGATTACTCCAGTGACCCAGCCTTTTCATTTCTGTGGTTTCCTCCCACATTGTATCAGACGTGATAGGCAGACTTCTAAAGATGTCTCCCCCTCCCTGGTTGTTTCAACCTATGAATTTAGGTGCTGTGGTGAAGCATCTTTGCATAAGTGATTAGGCTTGCCATGGTTCTCTGAATGACAACAGAATGCAGCTTTTAGAAGGGATATGTCACTAATACTAGGTCCCACTAGATACTATAGTTTGAGTGTTGGTTGTTCTACCACTCTCCTTTCTATCCTTCACCCCTGCCATGTCTTCAGGCCCTATGAAGGGGACCACATGTTGGGGAATGGAGCTCTCTCACAGCCACATGAACACCCCTTCTTACAAGCAGATGATCCCATCCCAGGCAAGTCTTTCTAGGATTATAGTCCTAATTAACTTCTTTACTGAAAACCCAGCGGAACTGCTCCTGAATTGCTGACCCACAGACACCATAAGAAAATAAATATTTTAAGTCACTGAAGTTTGGAGTTAATAAATATTCAGCAATGGAAAAGAAGCACAATAAGAAAGAAAGACTGAAGAACTATTTCAGATTGGAAAAGACTAAGAAACCATGAGAAATAAATTTAATGTGGGATTTTAGGAAAGAGCCAGACTAGGTAAAAACTATTAGAGTCCCATGTGATTTCTTCACAAGTATTTTACTGAGCATTTTGATAACCAAGATGAACTAAATATGTCCCTTATAAACCATATTACTTAGCCTACTCATATAAATCTTATGTCACTCTGTCACACAGAAACTATCATGTGCAAGAATGTTTCTAGTATATATCTAATAACAAATGTTTTCTATTAAATACATCTGTTGAGTTACCAAAAATCATTGAATTCGTTAAATTTTATTCACCAAGTTCAAATGTGCACCAAGGTCCCTTTCCCATCCATAAACGTGTTTATATTCACAAACAGAGACAAGCCAAAATTTCCAAAACTGTGTTATTTAATAAGATCAAATGCTTAAAATAATCTAATACAAACTTTCTGATTCAATGAAATATATGTACATTTATTTTGTATAATTGTTTACAATAAAAATCCTGAAAGAAATTTATACCTATATATTCCTCCAATTTACATGGTAAAGTCAAATATATTCAGTTTTTCTATATATAACAGTTTTACATTTGCATTTTCTACAATTAAGACAAAAATGTCTTAAAAGTTTTAAGATATATATCCAATTATGTACAAAATCCCATATGTCAACATATAAGTTCAACCTTACTTTAAAATCATTACAAATTGTGAGAAACACATATTCTGAAAAAATTTGTCCTAGAAGTAGCATATAACCTAGGTGGATACAAAAGTAAAAACCCATATAACCTAGGCAGATACAAAAGTAAAAATGATGATTATAAATTATAGTAGTGTCTGTATCACCTATTGTCAAAGGAGGTATTCTTTCTAAATATATATATCATAAATAATGAATCCTTTTAAAGGCTAAAATTATTGGTTTATTCTATTTTCATTAAAATGTTTGTTAAAAATGTTATCATCTTATAAAACAGAGTATACTGAATACAATGTAGCCCTTGAGTACAAATGCCAATTATTTGATGACTTGTTCAAACTGTTTCTATGCATGGGGTGATTTTTTTGTTCTTCTCCCTAAATTAATTGGTCCTAGACTCACATGTTTGTATAATTACTTTCTATAGTTTACTTTCTTATTCTCATTTCACATTTCTATCAGTAAGTGTCTCAGATTTACCATTAGTTTACTTGCTATGAAATTTTCCCTTGCAGTTCTTTGTGTCCACACTAGCACCCTTCAGCCTAAATTCTATTTTAGCCTTGGTCCCAACAGGTAGCAGCATCTGAATGTGTCTGGCTGGGTGAGAGGAAGAGTCTCACATGAGGTAATGACATATTTGTTCCCCTAACTCTCACATTTGATTGCCGAAATTTCCCACTTCCCAAATACCTGAATTTTTGGCTTTCCAGGTTTAATTTTTGGTGCTTAAATGTTCCAGTTTAAGCAGCTCTATCTATCCCTCTGCTTCCTGACCTTCTGCTCCTCCCATCTAATAGCCAGGTATGCTTGCTTCATAACACCTCCATCCTTCTCCTTGAATTTCAGCTTATGAATGCTCCTAGGATCCTGAATACTCATCTATCACAGATTTCCACCAACCAATCTCTTAAATTCTGCAAATGTCTAGTCCTTCTGATCCTGGCTTCCCACTAGGTCTTTACTCTCTCTGTGATAACCTCATCACAGTCTACTAAAACCCTGCTTGGAAAAAAAAAAAAAAAAACCTAGGGGAAGGCTCTGATGGGGGAAATCTGATAACACTTTTCTAGTCAGTAAAATTTTTAACAATAGTAGAAGTTGCTTTGGTTGATTTGAACTAGTTCCTCTATATTCTGAGTAAATTTGACATAAATATGACCTACATAAATGAAGTTTATTTATAATTTTATCAGGTTCATGAAATACTTCACCTTTATACTAAATGCAGCAAAGAACAGGGTTTAATGTTTTAATCAAATAACAATAATAGATGCCTTCTATGTGCAAAGCCATATTGTAGGTAGTCTAAGTAATGTGCTAGGTTATCAGGTTTAAAATTAAGAAAAATTATTCTGTATACAAGTAATATCACATTAAGGAATCTTTTTATGTCTAATTGGCACTTTTCATTGTGGAAGCTGGTTCTTTCTTCTGAAATATATATAATTGAATAATACTATCACAGAACAAAAAAATAAGTATTAAAAATCAGCAACATAAAAAATCAGCTACTGGAAATCTTATGTTGAAATGAACTTGTATATTTGATGTTGAAATTTTTCATATACTGGGACACAAATAAGGTAACTAACTTATATTCTAAATAGTTCAACAACTTAACTTTAGTAAAATAAAGATCAGATTAATATATGTAATTTAAAAACAAATTACATTGTAAAGCTGCCTTTAAATTCATGGGCTTTCACAATTCCAAGAAACAATGACATAACAGTGATTAGTTTAAATTTTTACATTACAAGTTTTCCAAATACGCTTAGATTATTAGAGACAAAAATTAAAATGCAACAAGTTGTAAACAAAATAAAAACTTTTCATCATGGTGTTTTTTAAATATGGATTTTAAACTAATTTTTAGCTATTTTTCTTGCTATTGGTTGGAGATTTCATACCTAGACAGTGAAAAATAAGTGAGCCTGTGTGTGTTTTGAGGCTTTGGTTGGCTTTGAAGGCACAGGTCTGTTTCTTGTATGAAAATCAAGAGTCCATACATATGCAACAAACACATGTGATTATAAACCATCAGTGTTTAAAATACCATTGACTATACTCGGTAGATAATGCTGCTGTGGCACTGTGTTCTTAGAAATGGAGGTCAATTTTCCAACTGTCAAATAATCTTTTTCTCTTCACCCTTCATTTCCTGCTTTGTTGAGATCCCTTTCTACTGCAACCGTTGTCACAACTGCATTCTGATTTTGAAATGACACATCTGTGTTCAGTGGTGGTGGTTTATACAAAAAGATTGCAAATCCATTGAAGAAAATGGTGATAACTTTACAAGTAACAGCTAAATAGAAAAATAAAAATTAATTATGTATTTGGCCCTTTACTTAAATGTACAGTAATTATTGTATCCATGGTCATGATTGCACATTCTTGTCAAGTAATTGTTGTGTAGGATTAAGTAAATCCACTTTCCATTTATAACTTCAACACACTATCATATCTTAAGAAATTCATAAGTAACCAAGTGTCTGTGATAAAATAAAATAGCCTATATCATCCTTAAACTTGAATAAGTTGCAGGGTTTTCATGTTCAAATGGGAAAAAAAAAAAAAAAAAAAAAAAAACCCTTTGGAGTTCTTAGGAGAAATCTTCTACAGAAATATATCACATTTACTACTTAACCAAATTTACCCTGCTGTATTACCTAAAAATATGAAACATTAAGATTTACTTCACAAACTTTGATCTGTTTTCAAAGAACTCTGGTTTTGAAATCAATGAGGCAAAGAAAAACTAGCTCCAACCATAATACTAAGCATTTAATAAGTGCCAGTAGAATAAATTAAATGTGATCTTGCCATGTAGTTTTTCTAGAAGCTGATTTCTTTTTACTAATCATTACTATTTTATTTAAAAATGTATATTTGTAAATCAAGAATGCTCACTGATACAACCATTACTATATTTGTAGAAAGAGGAGCTACATAGATATACAAATATATTAGACTTCTCTATTTTTAAATATTCTAATTCCTTGAGTTATTTTTGAAATTTAAATTTTAAATTTATCATACTACTACACATTACATGTGCTACTCTACTTCCTTAATCTTAACTTTCATTTGCTATTTAACCAAAATATCACAGACCATAAAAGGTGAATAGGGTTAAGCATCAAGGCTAACCTTATAAACTATAAAAAATTTCTTACAACATGTCTCAGAACCAAAGGACACTTCCCTACAGCAGGTCTATGTTTTCCAAAGCCTGAACACCTAGATGACCATCATTCTCAGAATTTATCTTTATCTTTTGGGTAAACTCCCATAAAAAGTGTGAAAAAAAATTTAAAAAGAAAATTATACGATGTGTGAAATAATGAAAGTTAAAATTATACTTTCTAGTTAAGACTAAGCCTTGTGGGCTGGGGATGTGGCTCAAGCGGTAGCGCGCTCGCCTGGCATGCGTGCAGCCTGGGTTCGATCCTCAGCACCACATACAAAAAAAGATGTTGTGTCTGCCGAAAACTAAAAAAAAAAATAATAATAATAAAATATTAAATGTTCTCTCTCTCAAAAAAAAAAAAAAAGACTGAGCCTTGAAGACTGTCTTCAAAGACTCTCATTACATAGTATAGCAAATGATTTCTGCTCAGGACTCCAGGATTGTCCATCAGTTTGCATTGAACTTTCCATAACTCCTATGACTTACGGAACCAAAAATGAGATTTTTTTTACTTCACATTTACTCTAAAGTTTTCAAGAAGTCACTTACCTATACCTACTAGCATATGAGCCATCTTTATGTTATCATAAATCCAGCAAGCACCTTTAATTCCACATTGATTAATATCCCAGAGAATACATGTGCTGTCAATCGTGACACCAAATATAATTGGTCCAGGTATTGTGCCTAGAAGAATTATAGGCAAAATACAAAAGGGTAAAGGTTACAGTTTGCAATCACAAGTTTTTAATATACATAGCTATATGTGTATTTATATACATAAAAATGGGCACTAGATTGTCCATGAGAAAGTTAATCATTTCATGTACAAGGCAAAAAGACAGATAAAATACTTTAAAATAAATATATTTAATTATATATTTGTAATCAGTTCAAAAATACTAACAGAAATCTTAAGCATATATTATATTAAAATTTAACTTAGTAATTCATTGTTTTTATAATTTAATGAATATGCATTTGAAATTAGCTATTATAGATTTTAAAAATTAAAATGCTTATTCATAATATAAAAGTAAGTCTATTGAACTATAATACATGTGTTGTGTATACAAATTAATATGAATTTGTATGAGTACACTCATATATGTAACATGTTAATAAACATGAGTATTTCTTACACACACACACACACACACACACACACACACACATTATTGGAGCCAACCAACAATAGGTTGAAAATGTTTTTTAAAATATTCATCTATACTGAACACGTGCAGACTGTTTTTCTGTCACTATTCCTTAAACAATATAGTATAACAGCCGTATTGTTACATAGCATTTACATTGTTTATGTATTATAAGTAATTTAGAGATGATTGACCTATATGTATTTGTATATTTTTATGTGGTGCTAAGCATCTAAGCCAGTGCCTCACACATGCTAGGCAACTGCTTTGCCACTGAGCTATAGCCCCAGCCCAGATTGACCTATATGGAAGAACAGGATATGCCTAAATTATATAAAAATACTAAGCCATTTTACATTAGGGACTTGAGCATCCAGTGATTTTGGTATCTGCAGGGGTTTGGAACAAATCCTCCAGTGACACTCAGAGATGACTGTAGTCAAGACACTTCCAACAGTTACAAGTCAAATGTCAGATTTCCAGTAGTACTTCTGAGAAAAAAAAACAGGCTATATCTGCTCTGTGCTTTCATGACATGTAGCATGATAGAGTCAAAAATAACTTGATTGGGGCTGGGGCTGTAGCTCAATGGTAGAGTGCATTCCTAGCATGTGTGAAGCACTGGGTTCAATTCTCAGCACCACATATAAAAAAATAAAAAATAAAAAAAGTCTATCAACAACTGAAATTTTATATATTAGTGCAATTGACTGAAAAAGGACCATTTTCCTGGTCTCATTTCCATTATTAATTGTGTAACTATGGACAAAACCCTGAATCCTTCAGAAACTTAATTTACTCATCAGAAAAATAAGAAATTTGTTTTAGGTAATCTCTAATGTTCTTTTTATTTTTATTTTAATAAATTATCACAATATTATGTTTATTATATTTCTTTTTTATTCTTCCTACATCTGCAAATTCCCATATCTAAAAACTTAGAAAATTCTCTAGACTATATTATTTCTCCCATCGGTTCTTAGTTTGTAAAAATGTCTACACCACTGTTGCTACTGACATATTTTAACTCATTAATTTTTACTGTTAATGCATCATAACAGTGTCACAAATAAAGATAAAAACAGGGATAAATTAAATTATGTATTAAAGATTTTATTTTATATTCTAAGTAAATTTGATACATCTTATAAAGTTATATTTGCAACAGGGTTGGAAACAACCCTGGGTTGTGAAAAGTTGTCATCATGCTATCATGTGGTATATAATTAATGTTACATCCTGAGTATTAGAAAATAGCTTTCTTAAATGACAATTATATAGTTTTCCTCTTTATTTTAATTATTTTCTTGGCATATACCATATAGAAATAGATTCATAAAATCAATGAACCAAAATAGCCAACAATTACCAATGAAATGACATACCTAATAATCGAAGTAACATGAACTGTATTCCTAATGCTAGAGATCGTTGATTTTGATTAACACACCTGGAAATATTAAATGCAAGTGAGACCAAAAAAGGTTATATAGAATAATCACTCTTCGAACAAGTTCATATCTATATCAGTTTAGCATTTTGATATAAAAGTAAATGTGCATATAAATAAACAGGTTATTTAAAAGATCTTATAGTTTATTCATTCTGGGATTATAAAAGAAGAAAAGTTTCATCAGAATTAAATAACACTAAAAAACATCACCAGACCCTATGAATTTTAACAAAGGTAAAGGAGAAGAGTCACGTTTAAATGTTCCCTCTACACCTAATCTCTCAAATATTAGGTATGGAGGGAACATTTTCATATATGAAAAACCTATAGCTAGCATCATAATTAATGGTGAGAAACTGGAAGCCTTTCCTTTGAGATAGGAATATAATATCACAATTTCTGTTTATCACAGTATTTGAATTCCTGACCAAAGTTCTTAGGTAAGAAAAAGAAATAAAAGGCATAAAAATTGGGAATAAAGAATTAAAACTGTCTTTTTACAGATGATTTATATTAATTATTTATATGTGTGTGAAAAAAAATATATATATGACTCCACCAAAAATATTAGAATTAACAAATGAATTTAGTACAATTCTGGGACTGATACAATAACAATAAACTATTCAAAAATTAGGTAAATCTAAGTAATCAATCCCATTTACAATTGCATAAAAATATGTAGGAATAATAGTAATCAAAGGAGTATAGTTTGTGCACTAAAAATATAAAAAAAATAATGAAAGAAATTGAGGAAGACACAAATAAATGGAAAGGTATCCTATGCTCATGGATTAGAAAAATTAATATTGTTAAAATATATCTACTACTCAAAGTATTCTACAGTTTCAATATAATTCCTATCAAAATGCCAATAGCATCATTTACAAAAAATAGAAAATATAATACTAATATTCATATAGAAAGATTCAGAATAGTTAAATCAATCTTGAACAAAAAGAACAAAGCTTAAGGCATCATACCAACCAATTTCAGAGTATAGTACAAAGATATACAAAGGAAAAAATATGATTCTGGCATACAAGATACACACACACACACACACACACACACCACCCACCAATTGAACAGAATAGGAAGCCACAAAGTAAATCTATATAATTGACCTTTGATGGAGGTATCAAGAACATACTATGGGCAATTAAGATTTTCTTCAATAAATTGCATTGTGAAAACTAAATATTCACATGAATAAGAATGAAATTGGATCCTTAACTCGTAACATGAGTAAGATCAATTCAAATGGATTAAAGACTTAACCACAAGACTTGAATATTTAAAACTTAAGCAAAAAAATAGCATATAACAGTACAGTTACTTAGCATTAGTCTGGTCAGTGAATTTTTAAATGTATGAAACCAAAAGCATAGGCACAAAAGCAAAAATAGATAAATGAGATTATATCAAACTAAAATGTTTCTACACTGCAAAGGACACAATCAAAGTGAAAAGGTAACCTATAGAATTGAAAAAATATCTGCAAACCATACATTACATGAGGGGTTAACATCCAAAGGAAATCAGATTCTAAAACAAGAAAATAGCTAGAAAGAGAATCCAATTCAAAAAATAACCAAAATATAATTTTGCAAGGAATATATACTAATGGTCAGCAAGAATATGAAAAAAAGTCTCAACATAAGAAATCATCAGGGAAATGTACATCAAAATCAGAATAAACTAAATAAATTAAATAAACTCACACCTATTGGTGTAAATATTATAAAAAAATATATAATGGATAACAAATGTTGGCAAAGATTTAGAGAAAAGGGAAACATAGCATATATTAGAAAGAATGAACACTGGTATGGTCATTATGAAAGGTAGTATACAGAGGGTCCTCAAAAATTAAAATTAGCATGTGATTCAGCAATCTAACATCTGATTGCATATGAAAGGGAATGAAATAAGTATGTCCAACAGTGTTCATTGAAGTATTCCCAATAGCTAAGATATGGATTCAACCTAAGTGAATGGATAAATAAAATGTGACAGATGATACTATTCAGCCTTATAAAGCAAAGGAAATCTTGCTATTTGTTACAATACGAAGAAACTTGAAGATATGTTAATGGAAATAAATAAGATAAAGACAAAATACTACATGATCTCATTCATATGTGGATACTTTAAAAAACAACAACTTCACATAAGTATAGGGAACAATTAATGATTGGCAGAAGCTGAGGGTGAGGAAAGGGGGTGATGTTAGTCAAAGGGTAAAATGTTTCAATTACTCAGGGCAGGTTCTGGAGATGGGATGCACAGCATGGGGACTGCACTTAATAACACTGTATTGTATGCTTGAAATATGTTAAGAGTAGATGGGAGGGCTGGGATTGTAGCTCAGTGGTAGAGGACTTGCCTCAGTAAGGCAATCGTGAGCCACTAGGTTCAGTCCTCCGCAGCACATAAAAATAAATAGATAGATAGATATTGTGTCCATCTACAGCAAAAAAAATTAAAGTAGATGGCGAACATTCTCACCACACACACAAATGATAATTATGTAAGATGATATAAATATATATATGTGTGTGTGTGTGTGTGTGTTTGATTGTTATAATCATTTCAGTGTATATATATTTTAAAATATTGTATTACACACCTTAAATATATTCAAATTTCATTTGCCAATTAAATCAAATAAATCTGGAATTTTAAAAAAATAAACTAAAATTTATAAAAAAAAATGCTGAGTTTTTACTATCATTTTTAAGTTGCAAGCACATAATTCTTATTCCCTTTCTAACTTTGATACAGAAATCATACCTATGGAATAGGGTATATATCTGAGACAGATTCAGGGATGAATCTGAAGCTCCATTTGACTCAACAATAATTCTTCAAGTCATAAGTGTCAAACATTAAAGAGACACAATGTTGATCACAAGAAGAAAATCATATGAAAGATAAAAGACAACCACCAGTCTTATAAAACAAGTAGCTGAAAGTAATTTCTATAATTTTTCAAAAAAAATTAAAAGCATTTTCCTCTTCTCTAAATACTTCCAATTTTCATGTTGTGTAGTGTTAACTACTTAATGTTTTCAGAATAGAATCCAGAAACATTTTTTTCATCAAAAAATACATGAGGGAGCTGGAATTGTGGCTCAGTGGTAGAGCACTTGCCTGGCAGGTGTGAGGCCCTGATTTCAACCCTCAGCACTGCATATAAATAAATAAAAGATCCACTGACAACTAAAAAAATATTTTTAAAAATACATGAAAAGGTAGCAAGTGACTATTATGAAACAAAATGTTGAAACAAGAAAATCTACAGCTTGCTAGGAAAAATACAGAAAAGGCTGGTGAGTCCAAGGTAGGGCAGCTAGCAAATAGTTTTGTAAAGCTCAATATGGAAAAAAAAAAAAAAAAAGGAACAATTGAAAGCATAAAAAGCAAACATCCAGGTGACAGCCAGCTCCTTATTGAAGCCCTGTCTCCAGGAGGATTTACTTTCAGAGCACCTCATGTTTAAGGCAGAATGCATGTCATTTCTAATTCTGGCTTACAGGGAGTGCTCTTCATTTCCATGATGCCCAAATTGAATTAAATGTATCTTCAGCTCACACAAAAAGAAGCTTTATAAAAACAGGCAGAGAAAAACCAAGTACATCCCAGGTAGTCAAAGTTAAGATGCTTTCACACAATCTGATTTAAACTCCATATATCTGGGGATCTGTGAGGTTACTTTTCCAATGCCACAGAATTAATGAGTTTGCAAGGGCTGAAGTTGCCACAGAGTCTATTTTTCTTTTAACTCAACATGTCGCCTCAGAAAATGCAGATTCACAACTGATACATACCTTAATATGGACACAGTTATTGGAGTACCAGCCATAAAGGTAAAAATAATTGCAACAAAGAAAATGCCAAGAAATATGGGCAAGTTTGCACAGTGAGTTTCACATTTTCCTGCTTTAGCTTCAAAACCAAAATTATCTGCCATAGGTGTTATTTCTGCTTTCCTTTCAATACAGGAACAGTTGTAATATACCTGGAAAAGTTAGATATAAAACACTGTATTTATTCTGAAAATAGATTGTTATCATTGTAAATAAGCTGATCTCTTTAGACTTGGCAAAACTTTGCATACTGTCTTAATCCATATACAATAAATAATGATGAGAAAGAGTAATTAACCCTAAAAAATTAAGTAGAAACAAACCATACATTTGCAGTAGAATCATCTGTAGTTTGACTTGTGTCGTTACTTCAATATGTAACTTACTACTGTCTCATAACTTACAAAACAAATTGATAGCAGTTATGTGATCTCACACACTTTAGGTTTTCATTAGACCATAATTGTTTAAATAACTTTATTCTTTTCCACTACAGAAAGCGAAGACTATAGTAACAATCTTATTATCTGCAATAGTTTAACAGCAAACACTAGAATTGTGACAAGTGTCATAACTAACACATCCTAAGGATTTGGAAAAAACAACTTGCTTCTAACTGTAATTTTTTGAACTTATTGGAATTACTTTAGTGCAAGTAAAACTATCCTTCCTAACACAGTAGGTTGATGACAACAAAAGAATAGACATGACAATATCATCATCCTACAGACTATTTTACATATATACTTAGTATGTATAGAAATATACTTATGCATATAATGATAATATGAAATATTAAAAGCTAGCATGATCAAAAAAATCACATGGTTTTCCTTTGTAGAAAAAATAATTCAGATAAGTAAAAAGTTGGTTAGGCTATGCATGATGGTGCTCGGGACCATCTGTAGAAGGATCACAAGTAGAAGGATCACAAGTCTGAGGCCAGCCTCAACAATTAACCAAGATGCTGTCTCATAATAAAAAGGGCTGGGGATATAGCTCAGAGATAAAGCATCACCAGCTATAATCCCCGGGACCACAAAAGGCAACTTAAGAAATAGATAAACAAATAAAATAAAAAATAAAAAGTTGGTTAGCCACAATTTTTTCTTAAAAGCATTTTAAATCTGAACTGCATTCCTACTATAAATCTTTTAACACATTTTAAATCACAGCCACCATCAAAAAAAAGTCAGGAAAGTCAAAGAAAGTTGATGTTTTATAGTTCCAATAACCAGAGACCTTTCTTCAGTGCTAAGAAAGCAGTTTTAAGACCACTGGCATGGATACAGGAAACCAAATATGAAGATGAGACCTCCAAAACTAATACATACTAAGCAATTAGATGTATCAAATAATAAAGTAATTAATTTAAAATTGTAAGAGGGTAAACTGAAAACAGGATTTTTTATTATGATAAAAACTTCACAGCTCTCTTACATAAAATACACATTTGCCCATGAAGTCTGTTTTTGTAGTTGAGGGCACAGGTATAAAATATAAGATGAATATTGTTGTGAGAAAATGTGCATATGTATTTATTACTTTTTATGCATTTTTCATATATTTATTTTTTTATTTTGTCTTTTTTGCATTTTGCCTATTTAAACTATTCCATAAGAACAAATGTCTTGTGAATCAATGGTTAGTGATGTGGACTTGCTGAACATAAAAATCCAAGACAAAGACAATATTTGGAAGTCAAAATAACTTGTTCTTACTATACAATATCCAGATGGCAATTTTCTGTGTAAGGAGGTAATCATCTTATTACTTGGTCAAAAATACAAATGCAAATTAACCATATCAAAATCATCAAAGGTACTCCAAGTGTGCTCTGGGTGTTAGATTTTTCATCAGCATTTCCTTAAGCAGGATGGTATTTGTGTCTGTACATTTTTAGTTATGCATTTAAAATCTTTCTAATAATTTAACTCTTTAATATTTATATGTAAGAAAATGCTACCTACTTATCCACCTCTCAAAGGAATAGCTACCTGCTAAGTAGTTCTGATTCTAAGGTATCCACCAAGGTCACTTGTGGAATTTGATTCTTTTTAACTGATACAAACACCTGGTTTTCTTTAGGTGTTTTGAAGCTAAAGCAGTTCCAGATATCTACTTGATTTGAAGGAAAATAAACCTCTGGGGATTAAATTCTTTAAACTTCTTCTGAAGTTTTTTAAATTTTCTCTAGCTACTTCTTGATAATGATCTAATTATCAAAAATATAATTCTAAAGATTAAACTTCCATACAATATCATCAAAATATTTTATCAGGTATATTATGAGTTGCCACTAACATTTATATGACAGATTATTAAATGTTGTTTGATAGTAATTTAAAAGTATATAGGATAGAAAATACAAAAAATGTTCACTGTTTCATATTTTGTTTTACCCCAGGCAGGATGCTCACATGTTGAGATACACATTGAATGTAATTATTACACATAAAACCATTAAGGATATGTGTGTGTGTGTTTGTGTGTATGTGTTTATATATATACAAATGAACATATAGTGTACATAATTCACACACATACACTCACACATGTTGGTTTGGGAAGAAATTGGAAGTCTTTCTAATAACATAAGTGATGTTACAAAAAATATGTGAATAATTGCCAAATTGATATTTCAACAAGAACCACTTGAGTCATAAAGGAAGAAAGGTGTTTATCATCAGCAGGTTTGGGGTTTCTTAATGGAGGAGGGACAGGAAGATAAAGCAACTCCACTATAGGATCAAAAGAACTATCATAAATACACACATTGCCTCATTAAAGGTAAAGTAGCAGACACACTTACCTTTGTTTTCTTATCTGAAACAGAATTTGAACAACCTGCAAAGCATGGAGAAAAATACTGGACTCCATCTATTCCACAGAGTGGATAATAATAGGATCGTGAACAGCTACAATTGCTATTACAAGGGGCTGTCAATTTTCCCAGTTCTCCTGTTCTGTAAATAAGAAAAGACAGAAGATCAAATTCTCTATGACATAACTTTTTTTAAAATTTGTTTTATTTTAGTTACACATGACAGTACAATGATCTTGACATATCATACATTTGAATCAGATGGGGTATAATTTCTCATTTTTCTGAGTATGTCATAACTTTTTTGTGATACTAAGATTTGAACCCAGGGCACTCTATCACTGAGGTACATTCTCAGCACCACCCTCCTTTATTATTATTATTTTTTTTGAGACACAGTTTCCCTAAGTTGCCCAGGTTGGTCTTGGCCTCTAAGGTCACTGGGATTTCAGTTGTGCACTACCACACTCAGCTCTAGGTCTTAACTTTTAAAGTTCAGAGCATTGTCATATCTTCACATTCAGTCATTTATTCATTCACTGAGCACAGATTACTGACCATATAACACAAAATTTCCACCTTTGCACATACGCTTACTTTCTTGTGATGAGAAGCAGTAAAAATAATAGTTTTATAATGCCTGCCAGTGATGAAGAAGGAGGAGGAGGAGGAGGAAGAGGAGGAAGAAAATCAGAATAAGCAAAGAAGGCAGATTTTCATTCTGGTGATAGACAATGATTGTGTAGACTGGTTCTGTGAATTGTGGGATGTTAAGCAGCATCCCCAAACTCCAGCCACCAGATGTCTGTCAATAGTGTTTTCCTTGGTTTTGAAAGCCAAAAAGTCTCCAGACATTTGCCAAATGTCCCCAGGTATTATGTTCCCAGAATTTTTATCCAAAAAGGATGAATAAAATCATGTCATTCAATATATTCAATTTACCAATGGGAAAACTGAGGCCTTGAAAGATTAGGTTACTCTTCTGTATTTGCCAAATATACTTTTCCTGATCCCCAGGCCTAGGGTCATTTTAAAACTGCTTAACAGAAAGCAATATCTTTCATGATATAATGAGTTACTTTAATCAAAGATGCTTCCTCAATGCATCATTCATTCATTCAACCATACATATTGAACAAGTGTTAGGACCTATGCTAGGTAATGGGAATACAAAGCAGCATAGGATAGTCCCTGCCCTCAGAGACTTCAGGGTCTAGGAATACAGTAATACATAGACAATTGCATAGTAACATGTAACATGAGTATGGTTAGATATTTCCAAAGTGCATTCTAGAAGAACCAGAGACAGTCACCTAACACTAGCCAGAGTTTGGAGGAGAGATACTGGAGGAGCTACTGCCTGAGATGAGTCTTAAAGGATGAGTAAGATATGGCTGGGCAATGAGGTGGAGAGGGGTTCAGAAAAAGCTGGCACAAAGGTATAGTAGTGAGAAACAGCATCCTGTGGATGTGGAAAAATATAAATGGTGTCTGAAGTCAAGAGTGAGAGGAAATGTACTTGGAGAGGAATTAGGGACCAGATTAAGTAGGCTCTTCAAGGGCCTTGTTACAAATAATAAACTTTAACCTACGGGCAAAATATAATAAGTATTTTTTTTGGGGGGTGGGAGTACTGGGGATTGAACTTAGGAACACTCAATCACTGAACCACATCTCCAGTCCTATTTTGTGTTTTCTTTAGAGACAGGGTCTCACTAAGTTGCTTAGCGCCTCATTTTTGCTAAGGCTGGCTTTGAACTCACAATCCTCCTGCCTCATCCTCCCAAGCTGCTGGGATTACAGGCATGTGCCACCACACCAGCCAATAATAAGTATTTTTATAACAAAAACGACATTGCAGAAGTTCATTTTCAAAAAGTAATCCTAGAGGTTGTGCAGAGTATGGACTTGAAGAAAGGAGACCATCTAGAAGACCCCAGACAACAGGTGATGACTATACAAAGTAGAACTGTTATTTTAAGATAAAAAACATGATTACATGTAACTATTATTTTGACTGTCTTCCCCCCACAAAGAGATAAGCCTATGTGCAAAGACAGATATTTCATTTTTTTCATTCAGTGGTCATATGTTGAATGAAAAAAATAAATAAATGGCAAGATATGGCAATGCTCTGACCTGTTCATTAAAAGTTTATAACTTTTAAATCAACCAAAAATATGAAAAAAATCATAACTTTTAATGAACATAGATAATTTGATCTTTTGTTTTATTTACAGTACAGGAAAACTGGGAAACAGCCCCTCGGAATGCAATTATAACTGTGATTCTATTGTATTTTAAAATACAAGAAAATGTGCAGGAAATAGGTTGGAGAAAAATTTTGGTTGTGCAGTCAGTAATATCTGATGATTTGCTAACTGATTGAAGACTGAAGGATGGAAAAGTCAAAGGCAACTCCCAGTGGTGCAATAGAGAAGGAGAATCAGTTTTGAAAAATAGGTAACAAGTATGGTTATATATGTACAGAGATTAAGAGTCTCAAATTTGGTAAAGAACACTAGCCTGAAGCTAGAAATCTTAAAATCTATTTGCATACAAATATAGCTAAAACCAGGAGCCTTATAAAACCAGCCAAGTAGAGCCTTGTGAGAAGAGCTTAAGGTGTAGGGGGCCCACCTGCTAATGACCGTGCAGTGAGCTCCAACTTTGCACTAAACTACCAAAGTGGTAGCAATACATCTAAAAGTGTTTCTAAAATGCACTTACCAGATATCTAACCAAAAAACCAGGGCCAGAGGTGAAAGGGAGAAAAACAGAAAGAGAGAATGATAAATCCATGCCACCTTGAAGCTAAGCTAACTCTTTCACACTGGAAATCAAACAGTAAATGAATTAGCATATCCAAGTACTAGCTGATAATATTGCTAAACTGAAAAATGGCATTTTAGTAGGTAGAGAATGAGAGGTTCGTGAAGGAGATAGATTAAAGAGAAAGGTAGAAAACACACCATAAACAAGTGCATGGGAAGTGTGAAGGAAAGTGTTGTCAAGAGTAGATTATTATAAGTTATCTGTCACTCTGCCTGGAGTCTCTCCTTAGTCTAACCTATTCTACAGGCTGTTGCCAGGTTTATGATTTTATTGACAAACACAAACATTACCACCTCAACCCACAAAAAATTTCCAGCACAAATATAGAGAGAGGACTAGAGAGAAACTAACCCTTCACCTTTAGAAATAGCCTTAATACAATAATTTTCAAATTTAAATTTTCTAATATATAATTCTCATGTTATTTATAAATAATTACTGAGAATACACAAAGTATAAGATAGAACTGTGAAAACTACAGTGCATAGAATGTACATTTTATTATGAAGAGTAGGTCACTTTAGCCTACCTATTTTATAAAGATTTATTTTGTAAGGCAAAGGAGAAACTATTAGTAGAAAAATAGTAAGAGTTTGCCAAGTATATGGTTTATATGTACATACCTTTAGAATTACTTTTAAATATTTTACTTTAAATATTTTAATGTTTTAAAAATAGGCATGTTTATCACAAGTAGTAGAATTTAAACACTAAGTTTTTATTTAAATTCAAACTATCACTCTAAAATTATGCCTCTACAATAGGCAAGTAATTCCCTGAAACTATAGCAATAATAGTTATGCCTTTTTCAAGAGCTATTTCATAAGCAAAGAAAATGTAGCTATGGATAAATTCAGAAAAAAATATTGTATGTACTTACTATGGAATATCATATTTTATAAGGTTTTAAATACAAAATGAAACACAAATCACCATCACCAGCACTAATTACCAAATTAAAACACAAGGATTTTATCAAATGTCAAGGCAATATAAAAATGTTAGAAAATTGTATGTGGCAGAGTAAAGATTCTCTGCACCTCTATACTAGAAACTGCATCCTCACAACCTTTCTCTTCCTCCCTGAAGTGGCCCTTCTTGAGCTTCTTGATTTGCTCTTTCCTTTTTCTTATACTCATGTTTCTTGGATGAAGCTATTTTGACTAAGTGGTCATGACATAAACATTTTAATGTGCAGGTATAGAGGCTAAAATTAAGAATCGGGGGGGGGCACAGGGAAAAATAATCAGACATTGTCACACCTACTTTGTGACTTCAAGCCCTATCTCTATTCATAGCTCTCTATACACACATACATAAACATGGGTGAATGTGGGTTTGTGTATGACACTAACTTTCAGGGTTTTTTTGCACCACCAAGAGATGTGCATATATATTAATCACTATCTTTGTGTTCCAGATTTTGACATACCTTGATAATCAATCCCTATATCCTCCTCAAACTCAAATAACACACCTTGACTTTTTTACTGATTATGCTAAGGAAAGCTCACCTGGTAGTAACACTTGTGCAGAACAGAAAAATATCAAGTGAATTCATATCTATCTTGTTACTTGGAATAATAAACTATTTAAAATTTTGTTTTTCTAAAAAGAATATAGAAAAAAAAGTGCTTTGTTGTGATAAGTTCGTGTAAAGTTTATAAGGATGAAAGTCAGGTCTACACAACTTACTTCTACCTACTTTTCAACATTCCTAGATATTTTTCTAATATTTCTAGACATATAACATAAGAAGCCCCATTCAAACTGATCCTTGAATCTAGCCTTCACTTTTTAAAGCATTTACACCTTTGGCTTAACATGGTTCCTCTCCTCTATCTTCCCCTCTTCTCTAACCTATCAATCTCAAAATTCTTGTATCTCTAACTGATTTAAACTCAGTTTTTTATATGGCCATGAATTCATTCTGAATCTAATCAAATCAAATAGAAAGCTCTCCTTTTGATTTACACAGCACTTTGTACATCCTCAATGACTTAAGTCATTGTTCATTCACTATTGTGCTTTCAAACCTCTCCTTTAGAATAAGGATTTTGCAGAGCAAGCATTCAACAAGTGTTGAATACATGTTATGGAGCTTAACCAAACACTACTTTAGAACACTGGGCATCACACTGATGTGAAGGAATGACAGACATGTGAATAACAACTACAAATCATGATTATTGGTATTGGCAAACTTTCCAAACAAATTACAATTCATTTTACCATCTGAAATGCTGAATAACACAGAATTATGGTGTCCTGGACCTGGAGTACCACCTCCCTCAACAGCCTCATGCATATCTAATGAAATAATTAAAGCACTACTGTGAACTAGAAAATGCACTGCTGTGTAATGCCTCCTCCCTCTCGTGTCTTAGGATTTCAAAGCAAAATAAATAAGGCAAAGAAAGAAAGGCAAATAGTCTGGTTAGAGGTAGAAACACATTTATAGCACAGATTAGCAAATTACATATTTCTCTCCAACACACATAAATTTCTAAGTAAATACAACAATGGTATAACTGGGACTAGCCTCATTTTAATCTTTTATTTTATTTTCAACCCAACTATTAAGAAAATTTAATATTATGGAATAATCTTAATTTTAAAAAATTAATGGGAAAATAAAATGTGAAATTCTACCCACACTGTTTTCTTAGTTTGTTTTCTTGTTGCTATGACAAAATACCTTAGTCTGGGTAATTTACAAAGAATATAAATTTATTTGGCTTATAGTTCTGGAGGCCAGGAGAAGTCCAAGGACACAGTGCCAGTATCTGCTCAGTATTTGGTAAGGGCCTTCTTGCTACATCAGAGCATGGTAGAGGATATCATAAAGCAAGACAGAGAAAGAAAGCCGGCTTGAGGTCTCTCTTCCTCTTCTTATAAAGCCATTAACATCATCAGGGAGGTTGTACTCTAGATACTTCCTCTTATTCTAAGTATCTTCTAAAGACCTTACCTCCAAATACTATTGACTGGCCTGGGGATATAGCTCAGTTGGTAAAGTGCTTGCTTTGTGTGCATAAGGCCCTGGGTTTGATCTCCAGCACCACAAAAAAAAAAAAAAAAAAAATACTATTGCCCTATAAAGATGGAAATTATTTCAACACATATACTTTTGGGGAACACATTCACATGGTAGGTGTGAATCTCTTAAGCAAATATTGTGTTGTATTAGTCTTAGTAACCCTGAGGCAGGTATAGTGCCCACCCAGTATGTGGTATTTGCTTCTTAAAAGCTCTTTGAACAAACGCAATTTTTTTAAAGAAAATATCAATTATTCAGACTAAAAGCAAAATAAAACAAAAAATTCTACATGCTCTTTCATAGAAATAAAAAGCCTTCTAAGTAAAAAAAAAGTCAATTAATCATAATTTAAGAATGCATATACTTGTAAATGCATACATAGTTTGCTATTCTGATAGTAATATAAAAAAGCATTGAAATATATTTACCCATTATATGATTCAGACACACCAGCAAATGGCTCATTTTCACATTTGGCATAAATAAATATAAGACTCAGCACAAGTGCAACTCCAGATGTGAACAATGCAAATTTCATTGTATTTTTACATGTCATTTTGAACTTTGAAACAAGAACACCTCCTAAAATCTGACCAAGAGCAGCTCCAGGAATCAAAACAGCTCCTAAGGAGAAAAAAGGCGAGAGAGAAAACACAGGAATACTGAGTAAATCAGACTGACAACTGGGAAAACGTAAAAAGCAAGCAACAATATGGTTTAACATACAGAAGTTTTCAGCCAACATAAAAATACTGCATAAATGAAAGTAGTTTTATTAAGTAAGGGTTTAGTAAAATTAACTATTGAACATGAAGATATCCTCTTTAGCCTGATAGAATTGTCTATCTCAGATTCATACAATGAATTGTCATAAAATCAGAAACTTTTATCCAAACAAGTATAAAGTGTAGAGGCTGGGGTTGTGGTAGAGCGCTTGTCTCACACGTGTGAGGCACTGAGTTCGATCTTCAGCACGACATAAAAATAAACAAAATAAAAGTATTGTGTTCATTTACAACTAAAAAGAAGAAAAAGAAATTGAAAATGTTTTTTTTAAGTATAAAGTGTATATTTCAAGGTGCAAGATATTCAAAATTATATATTATCCTACTGAAAATGTGTTGTTGTGGTAAAGTAAAATTATTAGATTAAGTTAGGACAAAGAAAAAGTTTTACCTCCAAGGGTAGCTGCAAAGCTGGATGACAGTCCAAATTGATTTTCTATAAATTTAGGTAAAAATGTTGCAAATCCAGTAGTAACTAAGGCTTCTGAAGAAGTTGATAAAACTAAACACATAAAGACAGTATTCCTCATCAAATTCTAAAGAAAAAAATACAGTTCACCAAATGAATAACTAAGATTATACTGCAAAGTGCAGCATTAAAATGGTAGCATTGTGGAAATATCAAAACTTTTAATAAACACAATATTAGCCTTTAAAATTACAGCATTCTCTCCAGCATCAAAATATAACTAAGGATAATTAATAGATTTACATATGTATCAGTGAGAAAATGGGTAGGTGAAGCATCTAGAGAATAGAGACTTCATCAATGCCATGATCATGCCTTTATTACACTCAACAGGCTAGAGACAGAAGGTAGAAGCTCACTTGGAGAGGTTTCCTTACCCACACTTATTATTATAGATGCATGTACTATATATCCACTTATTTGATTTTTAATTGTGTTTTGAATTCTTATGTCCACTAAACAAAAACCTTGAGACTATGAGCACAGATGAGATTGGTCTCTAAGGATCATAATGACACTCATAGAATCATTTCATGATTAAAAGGAGTCTGAAATTTAGAATAAAGTTGAGCAAATAAATAGGTGTCTTTTTACTGGAATGCTTCTAATCTTTATGCTTAAGCATTAACTAGAAATCAGATACATGAAAATTTTTGCAAGTTGACACATGGAAAATCAATATCATACTAACCTAGAATTTCAACTGCAACACATTTACATAGAAAAGAACAAACAGTACCCCAAAACTCCTGGAATTAAAGTGGGATGACCCTCAAAATATTCATTTAGTCAGAAGTATTATTCAGACATTCAAGGATATTAGGTGATATCCCATCTAAGGAAAAGCAGCAATAAAACTCCGTACTCATAGAGAACTGAATCAGTATAGGAATTTCTACAAAGAAGGTATAAGGATAAAAAAAAAATGGAAACCAATAATTCTTGAAAGTACTTTTGTAAATTATAATTTATAAAATAAGTTAAGGAAAATATATGAAACAGAACAGACTTACTGTAAGAGAAAATAATAGTAGTTGGAATTAAGTTATGAACAAGCTTACAAGATGTGCACATGTGGAGAGGAGAGGAAAGGTGGCTGAGGGAAGAAGTAAAAGGCTTCAGTGATAAGTGATCAGGCACTGCATAAGGGAAATAAGAGAGGAAAATGGGCTAGTGTGCCCAAGAGGGACCACAGATTATTGATATCACCAATAAAATAACTCATGCTTTTTCAGCTATTCTACTCTGGAATAGTTGTTCTCAAGGGGAAAAAAACTAAATCTGAAGAGATGTTGATAAAATGTAGAATTTCAGTAAATGAGCAAACAAAAATATACTACAAAAAGGTTTGTATGTGTGTTTTACATATGCATTATGTACATGCAGATGAGGGATGGAAGGAAAGTAAGGGGAAAAAAGTGAAAGTGAAAACAGTTTATTTCACCTTCAGAGCAGCTGGGAAATCTTTAAAACTTTTTCCAAAATTCTCATCTGTGTGTTGCAAGGAACTACTCTTATTCTGATGAGTCTGGGAAATTTTTCCAGCTTGAATTTTTGCTGTACCTGGGGAAAAAATAGTAAACGTACTTGCTCTATCATTTCACTCACCATTTCAAAAAATGCTTACTTTTTAATTGACACAAACATCCACAGCTATGTAAATTCCATAACAAAAGAGGTCAGTTCCTCTCTGTCAACAAAATAGTACAAATATTTATGTCTGCGATGAGGCCGCCCCAAGAGCTAACTTTCATTACACTACCTAAGGAAGTTCCAACCAGTCTAACCATTAAAATGAGACAATTTTGCTCATCTCCTATAAACTTTCTTCATTTCAAGTCTCTTAACATGTTGTCTACATTTCAAATGTTTCTCTTTCTCATCATTTATATATTAAAGTACATTGTAGCTATTTTCTCTTTTCTTCTAAGATGCTTGGCAGATGAAAAATAATATTTACTATCACAATGTCCCTTTTATTTTTAATTTTATTATTTAATTTTGTACTGGAGATTGAACCTAAGTGCACTTTACCACTAAGTTATATCCCCCAGTCTTTTTTTTTTTTTTTTTTAAGTAAAAGTCTCACTAAGTTGCTGAACGTCTACATTGGTGTGGCTGGTCTTGAATTTGCAATCTTCCTGCAAATTCCCAGCCTACCAAAGTAGCTGGTATTACCAGGCCTAGCTTCATTTTTCAATAGTACTATGTGAATAAATCTGAGAAAATAGTCAACATATGGAATCATAAATTGGAGGGCCTGCAATAAAAAGAAATCAATGAGTTCATCTACTTTTAATCTGTCAAGTTCTCTTTTGCCCATTTCCAAAAATTAATCATCTATTTTATTACAAATGACAATGGGAATCACTAAATATCCCCAACCTAGAGAAGAGTACTTCTATATATACCTATTTCAGATACAGAGGCAAGATCTCAGAGAGGACAATGAACATTATTTTCTATTAAAGTTTTCCTTTTGGATACATGTCTAGTATTAAGATATGATAAAAATGAATGTATGGCAATATGACTTCAATGATAATTGAAAAAAATAAGCACTTGTACTTTCAACCACAAATAACTAACATGAAGGATTTGAGGCAGAAGGTTCCTTGAAATTAGTCATTAACAAAATGCAAACTAAGAATTTTAAAGATATTGTGTCTTACATATAATAAAGCAGGACTCCAGATAAAAGATAAAAAACAAATTTAGTAAGTAGTAAGGAGATGAATATATATATATATACACACACACACATATATATACATATATTTTTAATGAGAAATACATGCATATTAAAATTGCAAGTAAACATTGTCTAAAATAAAGTTAGGTATTCAAAAGTTTGCATATGCACACAACTGAGATTCTATACAAAAGTAAAGAGGACAAATGTACAGTCTTATTAGTCATATAGAAAACAACATCTGGCTGGGCCCAGTGACTTTCACTTATAACCAGCAACTCTAGAAGTAGAGGTAGGAGGATGGCAAGTTCAAAGCTAGCCTCAGCAATTTAGCGAGACCCTAAAAAACTTAGTGAGATCCTGCCTCAATACACAAAAGAAAAGGACTGGGGGTTTAGCTCAATGGACAGGGTCCTGCTTCAATCTCCTGTACCAAAAAAAGAAAAACTATATTATTGCTAGAATTGGAAAAAAACACTCTGGTTTTAAAGAGAACTTTTTTACCTGGTAAATGTTTTGGGAAGCAAGAGAAAGGTACTATCAAAGACCAAGCAATGAAGCAAGATATGAGAAATCCGATCCACCAAGCCCCCAACCATCGTGGATCATCCTCAGTGATACCAGAGCTAAACCAAAAAAAAAAAAAAAAAGGAGGTAAAAGCCAAGTCAATGTTGTTAATTAAAACTCAGTTATAATCATAGACTCGAAAATTAAAGATAATCAAGTATGATATTATCATAATAACCAAATTTTTATTGATGCCTTTTTGATAATCAGACAATGGTAGCAGACATTAATAAGTTAAAAGAATAATTATTTACAAAGTTTTTTAAAACAGTAAATGTGACATAAAATTTTAAAATATTTAACAGTTAATAAGTATGATGGATATTTGAAAACATATATAGAATTTTCTGAGGATTCTTTATTAAACCATGGCTGTTTTTACCCGCTACTGTGTTAAAATTACTTAAAATTATTATAATTATTTAAAATTAATTAAATATATCTCACAAAAAAAAATCACTGACCTACGTTGAAAGCCCACATTCAGGGCTTCACATTTGGCATTTACTTAAGTATAAACTCGTCTAAAATGATTTGGAGTCACTAATATTTCCACACATGCATACTGTGTACCTTGATCCTATCCACCCACCCATCTTTACACTTACTCCCCTTGTCCTCTGGCACTCATCTCAAGTCCCTCACAATCACTGTTCTACTTTCAAGTTGATTTTTTTTTTTTCAGTTTCCTCATATAAGAGAGAGCATGTGATAATTTTCTTCCAGTATCTGTCAAAGGATTACCAATACCTTTCATTTTGCTATAAGTGACAGAATTTTATTTTTCTTCATGGTTGAATAATTATATATATATATATATATATACATTATATATATATATGTATTTCTGATATATATGTAATATATATATGTATTTATTTCTGATATATGTAATACATATATGTATATATAAACACATATAAATATATGTGTATATATGTTTTCTTATTTAATCCTGTCATATATATATATATATATATATATACACACACACACACACACGTGTGTGTGTGTGTGTGTGTGTGTGTATAATATTTTCAGATGTCCACTCATCTGTACCTAGATTGATTCCCTATCTTGGCTATTGAGAAGAGAGCAGTAACAAACGCGGGTATGCAGAAATCTCTTATTTATTCTATTCACTTCCTTTCTATGTACACCCAAAGTAGCATACCTGGATCATTTGGAAGTTCCATTTTTCATTTTTGAGGAACCTCCATACTATTTTCCATAGTGGCTATACAAATTTAAATTCTCACCACAGTGTATAAGAGTTTCCTTTTTTCTCCACATTCTTGCCAAATTATTTGTATAACAGCAATTCTAACTCAGATCACTTGCCATTCTTTAATTGAATAACTTGTGTTAAATTTGTGTGTTCTAAAAAAAAAAAAATCTGGATATTAACAATCCTAAATCAAATGGTAACTAGCAAACATTTTCTCCCATTCTGTAGAGTTGTCTCTTTGTTGTTTCCTCTTCTGTGTAGAAGCTTTTTCATTTGATGTAATCCAATTTGTCAATGTTTGCTTTTGTTCCTGAAATTTTGGGGTCCTACCCAAAAAATCATTTCTTATTCTGTATCCTGAAGTACTCTTCCTATATTTCCACTAGTAGTTTCAGAATTCTAGGTATTGCATCAAAATCTTTAAACCATTTTGAGGATTTTTTTCTTTGTTCTGTTTTAACTTATCTTGTCACAGTCTCTAAAAGGTCATACTAAGACTAAAAGCTCTAGGGGGACAAAATCACATACGAAGGACCACATTTCCTTATTCATTGCTTATAATCAAGCAAAGGATTGTGCAGTTATGATTCCCAATGGTAAAATGAAAAAACAGATTCTCAGCAAAGGTCATTAATTTGTCTATTCAGGAAAAGGTAAAGGCAGGTAATGTGGATTTTGCAATCAAAAGTTCTACTTCAATTAATGTTGTGGCTACTTACCAACCTGTAAGTATCAGCTGCTTTAAAGGATTATTGGGAAAATTAAGTAAGAAAACATGTAAGTTATGTTTATTGGAAACATTTGCTCTCTGGAATATAGTATAGGATAAATATTATATATCATTATTACTATATTGCCACGTTATTAAAATAGTGATCTCTCTGACATTATAATTATAATTGTAATCTGTATGACATTATCAGAGCTACCAGAAAATTTATTCTGAGAATCAAAGCCCCATCAGACACTTCAGGCTAGCTGTCCCCAACTAAATCTACAGAAAACATGACTACTTTATATTGAATTGTTGATTTTGAACAATGCATGAAATCTTAGAAAAAAATGTATTTCTAAACATTTAACCACATAACCCTATTAAATATCCTTATTTATGAATAAATACATTATTACACTAAGAGATGGTATGGTATTTATTCATGAAGCAATGTAGCCAGAATAAGATATCATATAAAAGTTGTATATGGTCAGTTTTGTGGCTTAAAAATCCCATGACATATTGAATAAGTACTGTGAAAATTATGATGTTAGTATATTGAAATCAAATAGACTCAAATGAAAGAAAAATAGATATTGCCTTGCCTTTCTCCCATAGCAACATCAATGTACATGGTTAACAGTTGTCCTCCCAAAACATAGCCAATGGCTGGGCCTAAGATTGACATAGAATAGCCGATTCCTAGAAAGAAAAAAAAAAAAAACAGACATTGGAAATAGCCAAATGTACAACTTTGTTTACATCTCTAACAACAGTGAAAAAAGACAAATATTTTGCTATAGAAAAATATAAGTAAGGAGGTCTACTTCAAAATTACAAAAAAAAAATCAATAAATATACTATTTGATGGTATCATTTTATCAATAATTATGTTAAGGAATCTAAAATGTATGTCAGTAGAAAATCTGTCTAACTGTAATAATTACAACAAGGCAAAACAATTGCAACTCCATGGAAAGTTAGATTACGTTCACTGGTTAGCATGAGTAGCACATCTACTATTATTCTGTACTAAGAATGATAATTAGTGTTTACAATCTCAGGAAATAAAACAATGTGAAACAAGAAGTCTCCTCACTTTGCACCCACTTGGAGAGTATTTAACTTGCCATACAAAAGATTTTGAAACTTCTATCTGCCGTTAATTCCATTTCTTAATAGATATTCATTTAAACCTCTTGTTTTTAGACACTTTCCATTTTAACTATAGGCAAGATTTAATTGAACTTATTTGTGTCTATTATATATTTAACATTTTCCTGTGTATAAAAAAAAATTAACTGTATTACAAACGTACAGACGACTGCTGGGTTTTTCATTCTTATACAAAAAAAAAGAACAGGAAACTTAGTTTTTACCTAAACTAAGTACATCTCAATGGCAAAAATGACTAATGTACTAAATCAAGTCTCCAAAATGAAGCTCATGGAAGATGATCTGAAAACATAATTTTTATCTATCTGTCAACTTTCTTAATTTATAATATAGCTGTGTTTTAAAAAGTAAAAATTACTTTAGTAGAAAAATTAAACTATATAATTCATAAGTAGTTGTGCACATATAAAGAATTCATACTCAAAAATACTTTATGAATAAAAGGGCATGCTTAAAAATGCTAGAAATCGGTAATTTATAAATTCTTTTTGGTGGTGATCTTGTTTGTTTGTTTTGGTACTAGGGATTGAACTCAGGGGTGCTCAACCACTAACTCACATCCCCAGCCCTATTTTGTATTTTATTTAGAGACAGGGTCTCACTGAGTTGCTTAGCGCCTCACCTTTGCTGAGGCTGGCTTTGAACTCATGATCCTCCTGTCTCAGCCTCCAGAGCTGCTGGGATTACAGGCATGCACCACTATGCCTAGCTTAGTGGTGATCTTTTAAAGAAATGATTTCCAATTCAGTTAAACCAACAATTTTGTAAGGACATCTTAAAACTTTTGTAAAGCATACAGTTGCTATAGAAGTTTCCATATTACAGATGTACCCAGATCTGGGCATATGGATCAGTGGTAAAATGGTTATCTAACTGTACAAAGCCCCCAGCTTCAACTGCCAGCACTGGAGGCAAAAAAAAAAAAAAGGAAAAAAAAATTAAAGGATGTGCCCAGGTAGAGTTAGTAGTCTGTCAGGGCCACTCCATACATACTGACTTTCAGTACTACAGCAATGAGTTTCCTATGATAGAATAAAAAACAATAAAGAGAAAAACTCATATAAAAATTAATCAGGTTGGGGCTGGGATTGTGGCTAAGAGGTAGAGTGCTCGCCTAGCATGAGCAGGACCCGGCTTAGATCCTCAGCACCACATAAAAAAATAAAGGCATTATGTTGTGTCCATCTACACCTAAAATATAAATATTTTTAAAAAATTAATCAGGCAATAATTAGATGAAGCACCTTGCATAGTCTGGTTAGCTCTAGACTTTAGGGAAGGAATTTTACCTAGAATTAGTTCACAAAGGGGAAAAAAAGGACTCATATAAAAGTGTTAATCTAAAATGAAAATTTAAGAGTTTCTATACACCCTCTGGTTTTTGTTTTTTTGTTTTTTGTGGAGTCTATTCAAGTTAACGTTGATATAACCAGTCACAATTGCCACACCCTGTGTAAGTTCCCCAGGATTTAGGCAACCCAGACAAAAGGCTTCTCCAGTGGTTCTTTCCATCCAGGAAGGTTAGCATGCCCAGAGGAGGATATAAGCAAAAATCATTATGCATTTTATTAATCATCTGGTTGTAGCAGTGAATAGTTAAATAAAGGAAATATTGCATTTACCTAATGGAAATGCCTATCACATTACAAATAACTTTTTACCAAGCCTGTTATGCTTTAGTTATAAAATGAGAACCGTTTCTTTGCCTTTTGACAAAGATCAAGAATACTCATAAAGTAAACAATAGGACAAAATGATCAGGGGATGATTATATTAGAGGTTAAACCTACCTATATAGAGAGAAGACTTGTGAGTGGGCACAGAATCATCAATAAAGGCTGTTCCCAGGGTGTAGAGAGGGGTCCCTCCAGTCCCCAGCAACAGTTGCCCCAAGATGAAGACATACAAGTAGTTAGAAAGCGAAGAGTTGGATGAGGTACAACTGGTGCTATTCCTTGTTGTTGAGCAAGTATCTTTAGTAAAAAAAAAAAAAAAAAAGTGAATTTACAGAAATTCATCAAGTAAATATCTAGCGTACAAATGATTTTTGCTTAACATAGTCCTTACTTTTTTTTTCAATCACTTCACTTTGATTATATTTTTACTTTCTAAAGTTGGATGGTATCAGTCTCTCTGCTGGTTGCAACCCATTTTACAGCCCCAAATGAAAGTTTCTGTTAAGTAATGAAACCTACTGCAAACATCTTACAAAGAGCTAATTCACCTCACTGAAAGATAAATAACAACCAAAAAAGAAAAGCAAATTGTATGACAGAATTCTCCATAAAAATATCATAAGAATATAGTTTCTAAATTATCACATCATGAACCTCCATACTGCTTTCCAGATTGGTTGCACCAATTTGAAGTCCTACCAGAAATGTAAAAGTGTGCCTTTTATCCAACATCCTCACCAACATTTATTGTTGCTTGTATTCTTAATAACTGATATTTTGACTGGAGCAAGATGAAATTTTGAGCAGTTTTGATTTCCATTTCTCTAATTGTTAGAGATGTTGAACATTTTTTCCTATATTTGCTGCCTGATCATGTATCTTCTTCTGAGAAGTGTCTTTTCAGTTCCTTAGCCCATTTATTGACTGGGTTATTTGTTTTTTTGGTTACTTGGTTATTTGTTTCTTTGACCCAGCTATCCCACGCGTCGGTTTATATCCAAAGGATTTTAAAACATCATACTACAGTGATGCAGCCACATCAATGTTTATAGCAGCACAATTTATAATAGCTAAATTGTGGAACCTACATAGATGCCCTTCAGTAGATGAATGGATAAAGAAACTGTGGCATATATACACAATGAAATATAACTCATCATTAAAAGAGAATAAAATCGTGGCATCTGCAGGTAAATGAATGGAACTAGAGAATATCATGCTAAGTGAAATAAGCCAATTCCAAAAAAACCAAAGACTCAATGTTTTCTCTGATAAATGGATGTTGATCCATAAGGGGGGTAAGGAGAGAGAACATGGGAGGAATGGAGGAACTTTGAATAGTGCAAAGGGTAGGAAAGGGAAGGAAGGGGGGATGGGGAAGGAAAGATGGTGGAATGAAATGGACATCATTACCCTAGGTACATATATGAAGTCTAGTTTGTGTACAACCAGAGAAAAGAAAAATTGTGTTCCATTTGTGTACTATGAATCAAAATGTATTCTGCTCTCATGTATAACAATTTAGAATAATAAATAAATTTTTTAAAAAATAAAAATAAATAAAATCACATTATGATACTTAAAAAATAATAATGAAAATCACCTCTTAATGTTGAGAATTAAAACATGGAAGCATGCTGATATGGAAAGAATATATATGGGCTGATAAAATTGAGAAAAGACATGAAAATAAAACAATAAAACTATCAGAAATGAGGATCACACTGGAATGATCAAAAGGAAATAAAGATTAAGAGAATTATAAGGAGAGAAGATGCAAACATGAAGAATATTAAAGAAAAATTAAAATACCACAATTTATAAATGTGAGAGAATATTATATATAAGGATTCAAAAAATGCAAAGAAATACCTAATCATCTAGAAATATTATATATATATATATATATATATATATACACACACACACACACACACACACACACATATACATACATACATATACATGTATACATCTTCCAGGGTAAAATAAGGAAACTTCCCTGAAATAAATGAAGACTAATCTATAATTTAAAAAGACATAGAATGTCTGAGTGAAATGTGATGCAGGATTTTTGAAACCAAGATATTCCCTTGCAAATTCACTGGATTTTAGAAGGTAAAGAAATAGCATTTTGAAAAACAAGACACAAAGGTAAAGTTATTTATGCAGAGGGAGATAAAAATCAGTATGTTTGGCAGGCATGATGGTGTATGCCTAAAAATCCCAGAAATTTGGAAGGCTGAGGCTAGCCTCAGGCTAGCCTCAAGAACTCAGTGAGACCTGTCACAAAATAAAAAGGACTGGGTATGTGGCTCAGTGGTAAAGTGCCACTATATCAAAACAAATAAAAACCCAGTAAGTGTGTACTTAATCCAACAAAAGAACGAAGGAATGCCAAAAATGTATTAAATAAAAGATAACATGATGCACAAACTTTATACTCAAACTCTTTCAGATATAAAGACAAAAACAAGTGTTTTAAACCTTAAACATCTTAAACCTCATAGAATAAATCTTGTTTGAAAAAAAAAATTGCTAGAGTACAGTCAATCTTCCAAGGAATCCTCCATTCAGAGTTGAATGTGGACCTGAAGAACTTCAGAAGCAAATACAAAATACTTTATTAAATTGGACTGTTATAATATCATTTTATAAAATGGATTCAACTACTCTTTGTATACTGTTGAGGAAACTATTTGAACCTACGATTTTGACTTTCAATGGAAAATCAGTTTTGAAAACACTCTCAACATTGCTTAATAGGGAGGAATTGGATAATAGCTACCGAAATACAGGTAGATAGAAGAACCAATTCTGGTGTTTCACAGAGCAGTAGTATAACAAAGGACCACTTTATGTTTTGAATATAGCCTTTACTGCTCTTCCACTGCAACTTATTTTTTTACATGGGCATTTTTCTTTCTCTCTCTCTTTTTTTTTTCTCTGCCCCTCTTCAGTCTCTCTTCCTTCCTAACCTCAGGGGAAATAGGATTACTCTTCTTCCCCATCTTAGGCAGATTTACCTGCCCTTGACCACACACCTACCCAAGGAACAAAGTAAACCAGACTGAGGATGGAACCAGAAGATCTCAGAAATGACTATCACCCAAATTAACAAGTCAATCACAGCTCCAACAGAGAACACTTGGAATGTAGCCTTTGAATCACCTCAGTTCCTGCAGAAGAATCACAGCCTCTGCCACAGGTGTCCCAGTGTGTTTCTCCTTTGATACCAAAGCAATAAACTTCCTTTTCCTTTTTCTCAAAGCTGTGTTCTCATTGGATTGACATCAGGACCAAGAACTAAGCTTTCGGTTACAGTAGGGACATTATTAGTTTACGACAACAACCTACTATAAAGATTATAAAGACCCTCAAGAAAGGAGTTTAAAGGCTCCAAATAAAAAGAAATGACAAATGTGGAAGAGCATAGAAATACTAATCGCAAAATTTTGAAATGGCTAACAGAACATAGAAATACTAATGTACTGACTTTATCATGACACACTGTCTGCATGTGAATTATAACACTGTCCCCCATACTTATGTAAAGTACTATGTAAATTTTAAAAAATCTAAATTGAAACAAACAAACAAAAAAGAGGCATGTTATTTGACAACACACCACAAGGTGGAGTCCCTATGTTGTTTATGAATTCCGAATAGGGTTGCCATTAAAATCACAGATTAGAATTTCACTTAATAGAGAATCCAGTGGCAGGTCCTTCCTATAATATTTGCAGAGTCTGCAGCAAAAGAACAAAATCCATATACCATATGTCAGAATATTTATAAGTTAAATATCAAGCTCAGCCCAACCCTTAATCCCACATAGACCCAGAAACCCACAGCCTTGTTCCCAAGCATTTGCCCTAAACACCTGGAAGCTGAAGAAATCTCTTTCCCTTTGGCCCATCCTGTAGCCAGGGGTAGGGAAGGATGGATGCTGCTTCAGGGCAGTGGAATTCCACTCCCCCAGTCCCTTTTCTGAGAGAATTTCTAGGAGCTGCCTGAGTCTCCCAGGTTGGATTGAAGAGGCAAGGTTTTACAGAGAACTCACTCACTTTAATTACCTGCATCAGGTAGATTGAGCTGGCAACCTTTCCTGCGGCCTCACTTTCTCTCTTCCAGGAAAGTGTAATTTTCTTCCCCTGTCCCCACTCTCTATTTCCCAGACAAGGCCCTACAGGGTAGAAAAACCTGCTGGATTGTTATATTTGGTCACCCCCTCCCCCCAGTCACAAGAGCACCTTCCTTCCTGGGAAGCTCAGCTCATTTCTGCATCTCCTTTACAGCCTTTTTCACTAACCCTGTTACCAGTCTTTCAAACCTTTCTTATAAAATTTGAAAAATAAAAGATCTTTGAATGTCAATGTTTGCAAGGTGTGGGGCCCTCTTGAGCACTGGGCTCAGGGAAGGGTCCTTCTTCCACAGGACAAAGATGGCTGGTGGCATCTAAAACATCTAAAACAGCAGAAAGGAAAATGTTCTTCCTGCAGGTGAGGATCAGCAATACTCCCAAGTCTAAACTCATATCCTTTGTCTGTAACAGGAAATGAGCCAGGGAGCAGCAAAGCAGTTTTGATTCTTTAAGGAGTGTGAGTGGGAGGAGTTTACACAAAGACTCTCACAGGCAGCTCTGCCCTCTTTGTGGGAATTGAAAAGCAGGTAGCCTTTACCAGCACAGCCCACCTGCCTGGGATGACAGCCTGATTACTCACCATCTCTGGGGGCCTAACAGGAACTGAGTCAATGAAATAATTTTCAAAAAACAGCTACTGCAGCCTCTTAGAAAGATGTTATAAGAAAAACCAGCAGCATAATTATATTAAATTAACATTAGGCCAAAAGAAGTGTCTTTCTACGTTCCGTTAGCCATTTCAAAACTTTGCAAATGTAATGACCAATTCATTAGAAAGAAACATCTGAGAAGAAAAATAAATAGAAGAATTAAAACTAAATTAAATTAATGTTAGGGCATTAGCCCCAAAATATTTTCATGGAGCAAAGGAAAATTTTTAAACATAAATTTCATATTGAAACAAAGCAATTGTTTATGTGAAAGAAGAAAGCGAAGCAGAAACAAAATTTTTTAAAAAAAGATGAAATATGCATTGGCAGGAAATCTAAAAGAAAAAAAAAATAAAACTCCATAGAAATGAAGATACAATGTAAAGAGATCCAATGTAAAGGGACTAAGAAAATAGAGCAATAGACACACTGAATAGAAATGAGAAAAGTAATTAAAAGAGTGATTAAAAAATTAATACATAAGCTAGCCAATGGGGATCATG